CACGGCGTCCGTCTGGCCCGCACCCTGCGTTCTCCATCTTTCCGATGCGAGCCTGGCGCAAAGACTTCGAAATACCTGAGGGATTATGAGGAACCTGGTCCTCCTCGTCACCGCTAACATTCAGTGGCTGGTGCGATTAAGCCGAGACCTACGGGCTGCGGCGGCGCTGGGTCCTGGTTGCCCCTCTCCATCCTCCTCCTCCTCCTCCTCCTCCTCCTCCTCCTCCTTCTCCTCCTCCTCCTCCTCCTCCTCCACCACTCCTACTCCCACTCCCACTCCCACTCCCACTCCCACTCCTACCCCTACTCCTACTCCTACTCCTACTCCTACTCCTCCTGGTCCTCCCCCTCCCCCATCCTCCCCCATCCTCCCCCATCCCCCTCTGTCCCCTACCTCCGACGACTTGAATTTTTGTTCGACTCACGCGTCCCCCCATGGGGACGACGACGATGAGGGTGACGACGACGATGGCACGGGGGAGGAGCAGGAAGAGTATATATAGTTCCATGTTAGGGCTATATTGTGGAATAGTGTAGCATGCTGGGAGCCTGTGGGTTCCGTGCATACGTACATACATACATACATGCATGCATACATACATACATACATACATACATACATACATACATACATACATACATACATACATACATACGTACGTACGTACATACATACATACATACATACATGCATACATACATACATACATACATACATACATACATACATACATACATACATACATACATACATGCATGCATGCATGCACGCATGCATACACACATACGTGCATGCCTACGTACGTATACAGCTATATACAATGTGATGGCATGCATACATACTTACACACATACATGCATACATACGTACACGAATACATGCATGTATACAGACAGACAGACAGACAGACAGACAGACAGACAGACAGACAGACAGACAGACAGACGGACAGGCATACATTCACACACATACATCTATACCTACATACATGCATACAAACAAACATACATACATACATATGTACACACATATACACACAGACAGGCATACATGAAGCATGCATGCATGCATACATACTGCATACATGCATACAGGCATACAGGCATACATACATACGTACATACATACATACATACACATACATACATACAGACGTACATACACACATACACACATACACACATACAAGCATACAAGCCTACCTACCTACCTACATACATACATACAAACGTGCACGCATGCATGCCTATAATGTATATATATGTATAACCACATAACCTCTATACTCATGTTTCTACTCATAAGCTGATACAGGGCCGGGGACCCCAGACCCCACCACCACCACCCCGCCGAAAGAATTTCGACCACCCTGGGCGCCCAAGATGGCCCCAGCGAGGTCCAGCACGGTTCCAAGACGGCCAAAGAGTGCTCCAAGACGGCCTCAGATGGCTCCACGACAGTTCAAGAGACTCCCAAAACGCCCAAGGGCCCCCAAGAAGCTCCAAGACGGTCCAAGAGGACCCCCCAAGACGCCCCGAAAAGCCCCGATTTCCCCCTTCTGCGCTCACGACTACTCCAGAAGCTGGGACCCCATGGGATCGGTGGGTTCGGACCTATTAACTAGTTGGATCCCTACACATGCGATAGGTTCAATTCTATCACGCGCTTAGTTTTGCATCCTTCGCATGCAGAAACCCACATATGCATGATGTTTTACTTAGCTATCCCACAAGCGGTGCTGTCGAAATCTTCAACCGGAAGATGACACATCGCTCGTCACTTGCAACTTGACATGCCGATGTGATTGCCTTGGGACGATTAGACGTCTCGCACCTTGCATTGCATATATTGTAAGGCGTGTTCCGAACTGCGCCCAAGGAAGCACTGAAGGATCAAAAAAAGCTTCCAGCAGAATCCAACAAGCACTCAAAAACCACCACAAGCCACAAAAAGCTCTCGCGAGATCCCCGAAAGTCCTCCAATGAGGACGCCGCGCAATAAGATCTGAAAATGGTAACAGGGACGCGTTCGCAAACGACGAGTAAAAGTGAAGAGGGAAACATGAGGGACAGGAGGCACATAACAGATTTGTAATAACGACGGGGCTAACGGCAACAAGGAACTTTCGTCCTTTTGGGCTTTCCTCTTAACTGTCTCTATCTCTCTCTCTCTCTCTTTCTCTATCTCTCTCTCTCTCTCTCCAGCGCCCCGCCTGCCGCTGGCGCGCCGATCCTGAGGGGCCAAGGTACATGGCGCGAAGCGCCAACGCAGTCTTGTATATATATATATAGCATGTAAATGTCAAGTCCACTCTACATATATGTGCGTGTGTGTAAATGTATATGTAAATACATGTATGTGTAGATGTCGTTGTATACTTATATGCATGCGCCTCTCTCTCTCTCTCTCTCTCTCTCTCTCTCTATATATATATACATATGCATGTATATCAAATATGAACGTAGACCCATTTTTCAAACTATCCATGAGCCAGTCGTGTATGCATACATCTATGCGTGTGCACGTATCGTCTGTGTATAAATGTATGTATGCGTGTGTGTGTCGCCATGCGTTCATCTCTATACGTATGCAACTATAAATATATCGCTAAAACATGTATATGCATGTCAATCCACAAGTTGGTATAGATGTGTGTGTCCATATGCGTATGCATCTGTATACATTATATAGATGTCCTTGCACATGTCGATATAAACACACACACACCACGAATCTACTTATCCATCCGTGTATACTTAGCTTATATATATACACCTACTAGAACCACTCGCGCGCTTCGCGCGCTCAGGTTCTAGCTGAGCGCAGGCACGGTATATGTGGTGGAACTGTGGAGAGGTGAAGCACGTGTAGCAGAATCGAGGGCTGACTGCAAATTCACCGACAAGCGGCAGCCACGAAGAATGAGGGCACACGAAGACAATCAACCAGGGGAGTGAGGTAGCGCCCGGCAGAGAGAGAAGGGCAAGCCTCTGCTGCTGTTCGTCGTCGTCCTCCTCCTTCTCCTCTTCCTCCTTCCATCCTGATCCCCACCCTCATCATCGTCGTCATCATCACGGTCAACAACAACAGCAGCAGCAACAACGACGACAACCTCAACATCATCACTATCATCATCACAACAATCATCATCATCACCACCACCACCACCACCATCATCATCATCATCATCATCAAAATCATCATCATCCCCATCCACATCGCCAACGCCACAATCCTTGTCCTCGTCCTCTTCCTCATCGTTGTCCTTCTCCTCCTCGTCAAATCACCATCACCATCACCATCATCAGCATCACCAGATTAATAAGCAGAATCATCATCATCATCAGCATCATCATTATCATCATCAGCATCAGCATCAACATCATCAGCAGCATCATCATCCTCATCATCAGCGTCATGAAACCATCATCCGCTTCAGCATCAACAGCATCATTATCATCGTCGTCATCACCATCAGCATCATCATCGTCATCATCACCATCACCGTCATCATCACCATCACCATCATCATCAGCATCAGCATCAGCATCATAATCAACATCATGATCATGGTAGTCATCCGCGTCGTCCGTCACAAGCCCCCTAAGTCCCACCAGCCCTCTAGCCTCTGGGTGCAGGTGGGCTAACGCGTTCCCTCTTCCCTCTTCTTATAATCGAACGGAGCCCCTCTCCATGCCCCTCCCCTGGCAGCACCCTGCAAAGACCCTGCAGCACCCTGCACAAAGCCCCCCTGCAGAGGCCCTGCAGAGACCCTGCAGAGACCCTGCAACACCGTGCACTACCCTGCAGGACTGCCCAGCAAAACCCCTGCAAGTCCCCGAACACGGACCCCTGCAATACCCTGCAGGAAACACCATGCAAAGACCCTGCAAGGACCCTGCAGTACCCTGCAGTACCCCACGGGGCCTCCCAGGCGCCACCAAGGAGCCCCGAGAAGGCCCCAACGAGGCCCCAAGAAAGTCCAAAAAGGCTTTCAGTATGGCTCCGAACTGGTTCCGCGAGGCCTGCGGTAAGCTTCCGAAAGGATCGCGGATCGAACGCTCCGCGAAGGATATATAGTTGACTAGTCGCTGCCGCCGCCCCTTTCATCATCGTCTCCTTTTTCCTCCGCCATCCGTCTGCTGCTTCTTCCTTTCATTCGTCCTCTCATCCTCATCCTCCCGTTTGCTTTTCCGTATATCTGCTCCGATTGTCAAGGATGGCAACCTCCCCGCCCCGAGACGCTCCAAGGGGGCCCCCAGAAGAACCCAAAGGAAGCCGCCGTGGTATGGGAGCATGTGACAAATCACTCGGCAAGTGTTCCCGACGTGTCTGCGCCCCTGACACGTTTTCAAGGCGGCTGTTCCACTTCATCTGTCACACTCTCTTGGCAGAAGCAACTCGCCTGGCGATCGTTTCTGGATAGGCTGGTGGGGATACTTTTTTTGGTCGCGGCCGCGAGACAAGGGTCAGGCGGCGACACAGCAAAGTCCGGGGCGCGAACGAGGCTAATTAGCTAGAGGCTGGTGGGGGTGCGCGAAGCGTCAAGAATTTTCCCTAATCCTCTTCATCATCACATCGCCAGAATCACCATCATCGTCATCCCCGTCATCATGCTCATCATCATCATCATCATCATCATCATCATCATCATCATCATCATCATCATCATCATCATCAGCATCAGCATCATCATCATCAGCAGCAGCATCATCATCAACAGCATCAGCATCAGCATCAGCATCGTCATCATCATAATTGTCCTCATCGATTCGAACAGCTGCCATTGAGACTGCTGGACTGGCACGGTGGCGAGACTTGCCGCAGGCAGCTAGATAGGAGAGGGACACGGGGAAGCGAGCGTCAGCTTGGGAACGATGAAGCGTGCACTGACTGACGTGAATAATCCAGCCCCCCCACCCGCACACACACACACACACACAGCATTCTCCACCTCCCCAATCTCTCCCCATTCCCTCCCACCCTCTCCCCAGGGTTGCCTCCACGTTGCGCTCGCCACGGCGCATTTCACGCACAACGAAACTCCTGGCACCGTCAGATGTGCAATGAGGGTCGAGCGGGTCGGAAAATGGCACGAGTTCCGACATCATCGATGCTTGCCCTCCACGTCGGGGGGGGGCGACCACAGGAACCAGCTTGGAACGCGATGCCGAAGCCCACTGACTCGCGCCTTCCTTGAAGACAGAGGCACACTCTTCGGATGTTGCTAGAAGTGCCCCTGGTCTAAGGTGCCCCCAGGACTCTCGGGGTGGCACAGACGGCCTCCAGAGCACCCCTCTCGAGGCCCAGAGGACCCCAGGGGCTACATAATGGAGCGAAAAGCTGGGGGCACCTTGGGCCAGGGGCACTTCTAGCAAAGCCCAACTCTCCCTGAGCGCAAATAGCCCTGGACCCTTGCCAGGTGCACTCGTCGGCGGCGAGCGAGGGGAAGTGAGAAGGAGAAGGCCCGCTCAGCAGGCAGCGGGGCTTCTCAAAGGGCCTCCGGCCTTCTCGGAAGTTTTCTTCTCTGTCTCCGGAGAGAAAGCTCAGAGAACCTCTCGGAAGGCTGGAGGAAAACTGCTGAACCTTTCGAGAAGGCCTTAGCCTTTTCCTTCTCCTTCTCCTGGCGGCGAGCGACGGGGGGAGATGAGAAGGAGAAGGCATTCTCAGAAGGCTCGGAAGTCCCACGGCATTCTGAGAAGTTATCTGAGCCTTCCCCGAAGACATTAAAAACTTCTCAGAAGGCGCGGGGGCTTCTGAGAAGTCCGAGAGCCTTCTGAGAAGGCCTTCTCCTTCTCATTTCCCCACCTCGCTCGCCGCCGATTCTCACTTCCCCCCCATGGCGCGCCGCCGAGTTCATGCCCCGTTTTCCGACCTGCGCTGGCCCGTCGCGAGGGGGCCAAAGGCAGTCCAAGGCGCCAAGCCGCCCCATTCGAGGAGTGCGAACGCGTGGTCGGCGGGGCTGTGCATGTCCTGCCTGTGCGTGTTCCCGCGCCCATCGGCCTGCCACTGGGACCTGTACAATAGGTCCGCGCGGCTTCGGCACGCGCAAGAGGTTTTGACACCACGTCGCTCGTTCAACTCTGAATGGATCACGGCCCCGATCGTTCAAGATTAAATTCGGTCAGGTCCAATGGCGTTACCGTGTCCCTTCGTGCTTCTAGGCGTCGCAGGTCGCCAGCGAGCCGACGCCGCACCTACCTCAGGCCTGCACGAGGCTCCCGCACGAGGCGGCCGGCGTGATCCCGTGCCACCGCGGCCCGCAGCCGTCGCCCCACGATCGCGACGCACTGCGGCGCTGGAGGAGAGGCCTAGACAGGAGAGCCCAGAATCGAATCGATAAATCGGATCGGCAATCGACATGAATCGGATCGACGGAAATCGGCAGCCGAATCGGGAAAAGTCGAATCGGCGGAAATCGGCAGGCCAATATGCCTCCAATAAGAAATCGGAATCCACATCGGAATCCGAAATCGAATCGAATCGGAATCGGAATCCATCGAAATCGAGTCGAATCGAATCGTAAGAATCGAAACGCGCCCTGCCTAGATGGCTGCAGGAGTGGACGCCTCAAAGGGCGAAGCTGCTGTGGGGGCGCCTGGCCGCCACTCGTGGGTGATGCGAGCGGGCAGTCCCACGAGGCCCCATCTGCGCCACATCCGTTTTTGGCAGGCCTCTCTGCAGGTTCTCCGCAGGGAGCCCGCCAGAGAGCTGCGTGCATCCCCATTCTTCAGCGCCGAGGCCCTTGCCCTTCAGCGCCGAGGGCTCGAGGGAACGCAACGGTACAATTTGGTGTGCAGCTTGCGCGGGGACGTGTTCTGCTGGCGCCAGGGGCAGAGGCCGACATGAACGAATCATCGCCGGCCTCCCCGGCGGTCTTTACGACGTCGGAGGTGGCAGAGGGCCGACATCACCGAATGGTGTCAAGGACGACCCAGCAGCCCCCAAGAAGACCCCACGAGGCGCCGCAGATGTCACCGGAAGCAGCCCCGAGTCCCAAACAGGCCTTCAAGAAGCTCCAGGGGGCCCAGAAGAGCATTTCGGTTTGGGATCCTGGCATGTTGTCAATGGGGCCTGCTTGTTTCCGTGTTTGGCCTCAAGGAGCCCGCAAACGGCACCCAAGATGCGCCCGACAAGGGGCCCCAAGCGGCGGCACAACGCCGCCGAGAGTGCCCAAGACCACGCAAGGAAAGCTCCAAGACGGACGAGCACGGACCAGCCCAAGGCGGCCCCAAGACGCCCTCTGCCTGGCACAAGATTGCACCAGGACCCCCCCAGCAGTCCGAAAGACCCTCCGACCTGGACCGAAGACGCTCAGCAGGTTCCTATGAGGCCCACCCATCTCTCCGAAGAGTCCTCCTCCTCCTCCTCCTCCTCCTCCTCCTCCTCCTCCTCGTCCTCCTCCTCCTCCTCCTCAGAGACCCAAGACAAAGACGACACCTGTTTCTGCCATCTGCTCTAGCAGGAAGGCAGATGCCACATGAGAAACCACTTCTGAAGGTTTTTCTCGGCTGCGGAAGCCAACTAGTACACGTAGGCGCCGGGGAGGAGGGATTGAGATGTCACACGATACGGATCTCGGGGCGCTATGGAGAACAAGTATATCAGATGTGAGGAAAGCACATGTCACAACTGGCGAGAAACCATTCGAAATCTACAATTCGCCAAGGGAGGCGTCATCTCGGAACCCCTGACCCCCAGGACCCCGAAGATCAACCAGAATCGCGAACGGAAGCTTGTCGTCGCGGCGAGGCAGAGGCAATCCGCTCGCGCGCTCTAGCAGCTGGGGCAGGGCATACTAGTTGTCCAGCAGCAAGAGGAAGAGACAGGGCAGAGGGCGGCCGCGAAGCGAAAGGAAGAGGGGGAGGGCCCTCACAGCACAAAAGTCTTCGGCATGGGTGGCCGGTGCTGAGGCGTCCTGGCAATGGACGTGGAGCGGCGTCGCGCCCACACCCAAAGGCGACGCGAAGAAAAACGCTGCGACGGCGAACCGGGAACATGGTCAGATCCCTTGAGGTTGTCTCGCGCAGCGGGAGGGCGGCAGCTCGCCAACAGCCCATCAAACCGGAGCTTTCGACCGCACCTCCATGTACCCTCCGAGGGCCTCCGAGGGCCCTCTGAGACCCCTCCCCGAGAGGCCTCCGAGGGCCCCTGGAGAGCCCCCCCCCCGCAGCAGGGCGGGGGCCCGCGCGTCCCGCAGTGGTGGTGCGTGAGGTCCTGCAGCTCCACGGCGTCCGCCTCGCGCGCGCGCGCGCGAGGGAGGCGAGGCGCGGCGCCTCAAGCCGCGGGCGCCCAAAGCCGCGGGCGGTCCGCGCGCGCGCCGAGACCGACCGCGGCCCTCGAGATCCTGGCGCCGCGCGCTGCGCGTCGCGGCGGGCGGCTCTGCCTCGCCCTGGGATGGTGTGTCTTGCCCTGTGCCCTGGAACCCCAGAGATCATCTCGAGCACCAGGAGGGCACCGACCCTGGAGGGTCTCCACGCGGCGGGCCCCGGGAGGCGGTTGCCGTTCGACCGTTTGCCAGCGTGTCTGGTGCTCGAGACTGGTTGTCCTGGGACGTGGTCCTCGAAAGTGCGATGGGAACAGCATGGGCCTCTCGCTGCGGGCCCTGGGGGCACGCAACGGATCGGCCCGTGATCGAGACACGGCCGCGGAGAGGTGGGGTGCGGGGCTCTCGGGCCATGTTGTTCCCATTGTACTGAAGGAGCACATCCCAGAAACGATGTCGAGCACCAGACACGCTGGCAAACTGTCGAACGACAATCGCCTTCCGGGGCCTGGCACGTGCAAACCCTGCAGTTTCGGTCGTTTCCTGGTGCTCACAATGAGTTCTGGTGTTCGAGGCTAAAGTAGGGCGGAACATCGTAACTCTTGGGGCCCGGTGCGAGTGTTTTGTCCACGAGGCAGCAGTCTTGTCGCGACGGCGGGTCTCAGGAGAGGCCCGGCCTCGGCAGCGACCTATGCCTGGTTCAGGGGACTCGAGGGTCGAGGCTCGAGAGCTTCTCGGGCGCCTTCGTCAGCTCCAGTCGTCTTCCTGGCTTCGTGATGCCCTCCAGCGGCTGCGCCCCGCCGACAGCGGTTCGGGGTTGTCCAAAGCGTCTCAAACGGCCGCCGGAGGGCCGACGGGATAGGCTCGCCTCGGCGTTCTGGGGGGAAGCCTTCCCGCACCTCCCACGCGGTGACCCTGTCAACACGGGTCCCCATGGAAGTCCCGACCTCTTCCCTGGGGCCCGGGCGGGACTCCAGTCCGCTGCCGGATCCGAAGGCGCAGCCCAGGAGTGGAACCCCCTGTCCGGGAACGTACGCCGGGATCGCGCCCCCACGCGCAAAAGCTGGCCTCCGCCATGAGCGGCGGATGGAAGCGACCCGCGTCTCGAAAGCAACAGGCGCAGGTGGAGTCGGCGGCTTGCGAGGAGGGGAGATGAGAGAAGGAGAAGGCCTTCTCAGAAGGCGGTGGGACTTCTCAAAGCCCTCCAGACTTCCGAGAAGCTTGCTGCGTCCTCGGGGAAGGCTGAGAAAACTTCTCACGGGGCCGGGGGACCTTCGAGCCTTCTGAGAAGGCCCGCCCCCTCTCACTTCCCCCCTGGGCTCGCCCCCGATTCTGAGAAGGCCTTGAGATGCCATGGCCCTGGCGGGCGTCCGCGTCCCGTCTTAGGGAACGCGGGGAGGCGCCTCGGCTCGTCAAGCACGCGGAGCCAGGAGGAGGAGAAGGAGGAGGAGGAGGACGACGACGAGGAGGACTAGGGGGAGAAGACGGACGAGTCCAGGAGGAGGAGGAGGAGGAGGAGGAGGAGGAGGAGGAAGGGGGGGAAGGGAAGGCTCACTTCCCCCCTCGCTCGCCGCCGCCGAGAGGGAGAGGGCTCAAGCGCTCTCGTCCTGGGCCGTTCCTCGGCGGCCCCAGGGCCCGACAGCGACCCGGCCCCCGACCTGAGCTGCTCAAGGCGCTGGCGGCCCCAGACCCCCGAAGGTCCTCCAGAGGGCTCCACGCGCTCAAACAAAAAAA